TGTCAAAAAATAAACAAAGGTAAATGTGAGCAAGGCAGAATGCGAAAGTTTGTCCTATTATTCATGAGGCAGAGAGTTGTATGTCCATTCTTTTCTTTCAACACACAACACAGATGTAGATATGTTCATTCTTCCACACTTTTTTTTTTAGATGAAGTTTCACTCTTGTTGCCCAAGGTAGAGTGCAATGGCACAACTGAGGCTCACAATTGGCTCACTGCAACCTCTGCCTCCTGGATTCAAGCGATTCTCCTGCCTCAGTCCCCTAAGTGGCAGGGATTACAGGAATGCACCACCATGCTGGGCTAATTTTTTGTATTTTTAGTAGAAACGAGGCTTCACCACATTAGCCAGGCTGGTCTTGAACTCCTGACCTTAGGTGATCCACCCACCTTGGCCTCCCAAAGTGCTGGGATTACAGGTGTGAGCCATCACACCCAGCCCTTCCACACTATGTTTTTACAAACACTAAGGCTATAGTTTCCTTTTTAAAAATACTATTATCGGCCGGGCACAGTATTTCGTATTAGTAAATACAAAAGATTTATTTATTAGTCAATACAAAAGATAATTAGAATGGTAAATTCACTGCCAAAGAAACAAAATAAATCCTACTACTAAAAATAAGTCATTTAAAGTTATTCGCTGGTTTGAATTATCTCCCATCTCTTGCTTCATTAACATAAAAAGTATAAGTTAACTATATCTTGAAATATAAACCCCTAAAAACTCTGCATCTCTAATTTTCTCCAAATACTAATAAAAGTAGGCACAATACTGAATTTCATAAATGGGATTCTAATAATGATAATTTGAAACTGTAAACTATGTGGTCAGAATAGCATTTCTCTAATAGTCCCATGGAATACCAATGTTCCTTTGAAGTATTCCTAAATGTTCCATAAAGAAAAAGAATACAGTAGGGCACAGTGGCTCACACCAGTAATCCCAGCACTTTGGGAGGCTGAGGCAGGCAGAACACCTGGAGGTCAGGAGTTCGAGACCAGCGTGGCCAACATGGAAAAACCCCATCTCTATTAAAAATACAAAAATTAGCCAGGCTTGGTGGCACTTGCCAGTAATCCCAGCTACTCAGGAGGCTGAGGCAGGAGAATCACTTGAACCCAGGTGGCAGAGGTGATGGCGAGCTGAGATTAAGCCACTGCACTCCAGCCTGGGAAACAAGAGTGAAAGAATACTATGGTCAAATATATTTCAAAGTGCTGGGGTAAATAAATGTTGTTTAATGAGAGGTTTTCTCAGAAATCTTCATTCTTTTACTCAACAAATAATTTATTGAACGCCTACCATATACCCAGCACTAAACTGAGTCTGGGAATTACAACAGTGAGCAAGATGAATAAAATCCCTGCCTTTACAGAACATTCTTTCTAGTGAAGGGGGGCAGTAAATAAACAAGGGAGCAGTAATTAAGTGGAGTCAGTGATGAAGACACTAAAAGAAGATGCATAAAGAGGTCAGTGGATACTTCAGACTGGGTGGGCACAGTAAGTCACATGTATAATATCTTCATGTTTTTCTACACTGGGGGATATAGCACATAGTGTTTTGCAAAATTATGTGATTAGAAAGCCTTCTGTCAATGAAATTTAATAGTTCACTTAATCAGTTTTCTACCCAAAACACAGACAACAGCAAGATCAACATTCAAAGATAGTTATTCTCTTCCTAAGTCCAGTCTTTGTAAAGTTTCCTCACCTATGAAAGTAGGAATAATAATAGTGCATATTTCACAGAATCATAGTGAAGATCCAATTATCTACTTCATGTAAAACACCCACAGGAGGCTTATTATACACTCTGCTCAATAAATGTTATAGTTGCCGTTAATACAGCACTCTGCATATGAAGTCTTCTGTCATTCAAGGATGTCATTCAAGTCTCCCTTTTAAAATCTCGAATTTGTAAAATCACTTTTTTTGCTCCTGTACATAGAAGATTCCTTGAGGACAGCAACTAAAATAAGAGATTGCATGTAGCAGCCAGGTGTGGTCGTTCATGCCTACAATCCCAGGACTTGTGGAGGCCAAGGTGGGCGGATCACCTGAGGTTGGGAGTTCGTGACCAGCCTAACCAACATGGAGAAACTTCATCTGTACTAAAAATACCAAATTAGCTGGGCATGGTGGCACATGCCTGTAATCCCAGCTACATGGGAGGCTGAGGGAGGAGAATTGCTTTAACCTGGTAGGCGGAGGTTGTGGTGAGCTGAGATCATGCCATTGCACTCCAGCCTGAGCAACAATAGCAAAACTCCATCTCAAAAAAAAGAGACTGCATGTAGCTAAATGTTTCCTCTGTAGTTGGTTGTACAGATTATCCAAAGCAGGTTAAATGCAGATGCAGGGAAAAGAAAGAAAATATAAAAAAGCAATCACTCCTCCTGGAAACCCAAACCACATTAAACCAAAGCTTCCATGAAACATTGCGTAATACTTTTCACATATTCAAAGTACTTTCATAAATTACTAGTAATGTGTTATATTCTTCCTGATAAGATTCATTAAGATACCATGGCACTTCTGTGGTATTTCTGCCAGAAACACAAATCCTGACCTTATCAAGAAGAAACATCAGACAAACTCAAATTGAAGGATATTCTACATAATCAATGACCAGAACTCTTAAAAAAGTTAAAATCATAAAAGACTGAAAAACTGTTTTAAATTAAAGGAGGCCAAAGAGACATGACAACTAAATATAACAAGTGATCTTGGATTCATCATGGACCAAAATCTTTTTTTCCTTTCGCTATAAAGGACATTGATGAAAAAATTGAATGAGGGCTGTAGACTAAATAATACTAACAGGCCGGGCGTGGTGGCTCACGTCTGTAATCCAAGCACTTTGGAGGCCAAGGCAGGCAGATCACCTGAGGTCAGGAGTTCAGCTGACCAACATGGTGAAACCCCGTCTTTAAAAATAAAAAATAAAAATAAATAAATAAATAAGAAAAAGAAAAAAATAATAATACTATTAACTTCCTGATTATGATCATCATATGGTAGTTAGAATTTTGTTGCTTTTAGGAGTTCACACTAAAGTAGAATTAAAGGGGCATGATGTCTACCACTTAATCACAAAGGGGTAAAAAAATACAAAGAAGGAAATTAAATGACAAACATGGCAAAAGAAGAAAATCTGAGTAAAAAGTGTATGAGGAAAACTTTGTACTGTTATTGAATCTTTCCATAAATCTGAAATTATTTCAAAATAAAATGTCTAAATACAAAAAAAAGGTAGGGGAAGGAAAGATGTAAAATAATTATATGAATAGATGCTCAACATCATCAGCACTTAGGAAAATCTAAATAAAAACCACAGTGAGATGATACTAAACCCTATTAGAATTACTAAAATATAACGGAGAAAAAGAAAGAGCCGGCAACAGCAAACGTTGGCAAGGATATTGGGAAACTAAAAGTCTCAAACATTACTGAAGGAAAGGCAAACTGGTAGGAAAAAACTTGCAACTTATTTTGCAAAGTTAAACATATATTTACCATATGTCATACCAATCCTAAGTATTAACCCAAGAGAAATAAAAACTTACACTGATATAAAACCTATTTGCAAAAATGTTTATAATGTATTTATTCCTAACCACTAAAATAACTTACTGAAAACAACTTAAATATCCAACTGATGAATGAATGAACTGTATTACATCTATTTAATAGAAGACGATTCAGCAACAAAAAGGAATGGATTATTGATACATGCAACAATATGGATGAATCTCAAAAGTATCATGCTACCTTAATATATACCATATAGCCAGTCTCAAAGGCTATATGGTATATATTAATCGTGTGTGTGTGTGTGTGTGTGTGTGTGTGTGTGTGTGTGTGTGTGTATGTCATTCTGCAAAATGTAAACTACAGGGATAGGAGCAGATCAGTTGCTGCTAGGGGTGAAGGTGGGGGGAGGGAGGAAAATATTGATGAAAAATTGGCAGCATGATGGAATTCTGAGAAGTGAGGGAATGGTTCTATATCTTGATTGCTGTCATTACAGAATTTTATGAATACATCAAAACTCACAGAACTCTTATACTAAAAAGACTGAATTTTACTGTACATAAATTTTAATAACTTTTTTTACCCAATTTAATGATATTGTTATAAGCATCTGCTTTTTTAATTTTAATAATATTAAGTCCACAAGAAAAAAAGTACTTTCACAGACAACTAATTTTATTCTCAGAACAATAACGAAGACTAGATAGGTACTATTACTCTGATTCTGTAAGTGAGGACACTGAAGCATACAGTAAATAAATAAATAACAAATTACATGTGGCAGGACCAAAACTACAGTCCAGCTGCACTGATTATATTCCAAATGCTTCATTGACTCAATTTTCTCATTTTCCAGTAAACTTTATGGGACACAATGTCCCTGAAGACAAATAGGATCAAACAGAAGAAAGGAAAAGAAGAAGAAAAAAGACAGTTATTGGAAGAAAGCCATTTAGGATTTGGCTGTCGTCCTCAAGGAATTAAAAAGTCTTTAATAGAAGAGGTCTGAACGGTGATCCATACAGGCAACACATTAATTGGCATTAAAGGATTAGCTGGTGATTTCTTCCATAAAAGCTTCTCAATTTTTTAATGCTAAGAAAAGGCAAAGGCAAACATAAAGCACTCACAGGTAACCTTGCAACTACTGCTACAATTTAAGTGATATCTGGTCTTCAGAACTACTCTGAGAACAATGATGGTGCCTACAATTCAAAACAGATTTTGCAACTTTAAATAAACAAAGTCCCAGAAGCTGCCACCCAAGAATAGAAAACAAGAGCAAAACCTTTAAAAATAACTTTTTGGTTTCAAAATCAAAGAAGTAGTGGTATAACAGTTGCCAAAAGAACATACTATAAGTACAAAAGCTGAAGAAAAAATTAAGCTTAGTTTAACAACAACAAAAAAAAAGACAGAAAAGAAAAATTACATCTGTACCACAAACAGCATACTTACCTAAAAACAATGGTGTGGTTTCTTCTAAAGTAGTTGCATTCGGATCTGCCCCCGCTTCTAAAAGAATCTGTACGATTTTCCAATGTCCTTGACTTGCAGCGAGATGTAAGGCACAGAAACCTTCAAAAGTCTTCATCTTAATGTAGTTTTCAGATGAATCTATGGAAGAATAATAAAAGCCCATCAACTAGAAGATACCACTTCCATTTCCTGGTTTTAAAAAGCAAAGGTTCCAAGAGGAATTTAATGGACTATTAATATGTAAGTAATTTATAAATGACAGGTTTCACCATTTAATACTCTAGAAAATCAAGAAAAAGTTCTACAAGGATCCCAATGTGAACAGCTCTTTGGTATTTTTAATACACAAATCCTGCCTACTTGCTCTCATTTTCTCTTCTCTAATTTTTGGTGAGCAAGGGAAGAAGGGTGGCAGAAATTGAAAGGCAACACAAAAGCACTATCCCAGGAGGATGCAGCACCAAAGATTTGCTTAAACAGGATTTACTGAAATATTAATCCATTTTTTTTTATTTTTAAATTTCCATAAGGCAAACGGTCTGTTCTACAGCATTACTTCCTTGTACTCAACTATTGCCATGAGGCAGTTTTAAATACTCCTTTTCTAACTTAAGACTATGGTCTAATAGTTAACGAAAACTGCAGTTCTAAAAGAATAAAATACACTTCAACACAAACTAACAGTGACATATAATAAGGAATTTATAAGTTAAAATTCTGTAATGTATTGTTATGAAAACCTCAAGGTTCTGGTAACACTCAAATTATACAAATAACATTTATACAATAAAATGCTGTGCTCATTATAAAAGGATGGGCTCTAAGGTGAATGGTGAAGACATTTCTGAGAGTTGGAATAAACGAAACAGAAAACCAAAAAAAAACTTTTAAAAACATTTTCTTGAAGTGTCAGAATTGAAATGAATGCTCCTAACTAGTCATCTGTTTTAAGTAATTCTTCTAATTGTAACCCACTGATGAAACAAGTAGATCAAATCATAACATCCAAATAACAGCTTGTAAGTACATATATTCAAAGAAAATAGTCTCTAACTTTGCAGATGCAAAACTAAATGGCAAGATAGGGTAGTCACATTTTAAAAGGGCCTATCACCAAAATAGCGTTTCAGAGATTAGTCAGAAGTTATTATTCAAAGTAGTTTACTAAGATTAGCCAGAGATTAGTCAGACATGACCCTTATTTAATATATTAACCTGACAGTTTTGTGAATACAAATGACATGAAAAACTAGGAATACAAAGATAGATATAGATAATTGACATAGGTAGATTGGCTTCTAAATGGGAAATTTCAATACTATAAAGATGCTGATTCTTCCCAAAATAATTAATAAATTTAATACAATTCTAATAAAAATGGCAATAGAGCTGTGTGCTGGTTTTATACTTTATAAAGTAACCCAAGGTGGTAAGTCTAGGGTAGTGATGCAGGAGTTTTTGCTCCTTCGTTCAGCTAAAATCTAGGTTTTTGTGTCACCACCAGGAAAAATTAGGCATGTGGACACACTGAAAGGTGAGGAAAGAGGAGTTTATTAAAAGAAAGCTCTCAGCGAAAAAAAGGGGGTCTTGCCAACAGGTTCCAATCTCACAGGTGGAATATCAGGCCACCACACATAAGCTGAAGAGGCCCGGCTCCTCCCTACTGCATAAAACATGAATTCCCAGTGGCTTCACACCATTCTTCCAGTGCGCAGGCGAGACCTTATTCTGAGCCACTCCACACTGATTTATTTCCCTTTCTATGCATGTGTTAGGGATGGAATTCTTCACTGTGGGCATGTTTAGGTAAACCCCTGTGCATAATGACTGGGCGGCATCTGGCTGTCTCCTGTATCTATCAATAGGGCAGGTAAGAGTAACAAAGAATTTAGAAAAATGACCAAGACAAGCATTGAAGCGTGTGTAGATTTACTATATAATAAACCATGTCTTCAAGTTAGAAAAAGTAAAGTAATTGACCCTGGTACAAATGCAGAAAGGAAGGTACCCATCAGGGAAAGGAATCAACACAAGCAATAAGAGACCAAGAAAGGTGATCGCTAGACAGTAGGAGGCCTAGACCAGTGTTATATTATGGATGCCAAGAAACTTAGATGTTCTCTTCCACTTACAAAGAAAAAAAAGAGATAAAGTTTAATCCTGGCCATTTCAATATTATGCCTTACAGCAGAAGGAGTGAACTTTAATGTACGCAATTTTTTAAAAATCAACCAGGAGACAAAAGGAAGGGGGATCCTAGGACAGAATGCAGACTGTGACAAAAGAATAATTGGATTACAAATATATGTCATAACCACACTGAGAGGTAGAGAAAAAAGATGCTGGCCTACATAACTTTGATAAATGATGCTATAACTGAAAACTTTAAGACAAAGACAAAACGAACTGCACATAAACACTGCAGTCTAGTTGGTAAAGCTGTTTCTAGGAGTAGAGATTAACAATTCTGAAACCACTCCACACGAATACTAAGAGCAAACAAATAAATCAACAGATGGCAGAGCTGGGAGCCAGGCTTCTTACTGTTGGAGAGGAAGGTTACAGATAAGGATACAGGGAAGGCTAGAATGAACCACGTGGTTCTGGATTAGAGTCCAGACATCAGTATTAATTCATGTTTAGCTTAATATAGAGACAGATGGCTATACATGGAAATAATTACAGAAGTGTATATACTTGGGTTATAACAGATAAATACATTTTCTAGATCTTTCTGCTGAAAGGGCTTAAAATAAATGATAGTCCAGTAGCAACAAGCACAAGCAAACCCAGTACTCAGATCTTGGTTTTCTCTTTTTTTTTTTTGAGTTGGAGTTTCACTCTTGTTGCCCAAGCTGGAGTGCAGTGGTGGGATCTCGGCTCGCTGCAACCTCCACCTCCACCTCCACCTCCTGGGTTCAACAGATTCTCCTGCCTCAGCCTCCCGAGTAGCTGGGATTACAGGTGCCATCATGCCCAGGGAATTTTTTGTATCTTCAGTAGAAACGGGTTTTCACCATGTTGGCCAGACTGGTCTCAACCTCCCGGCCTCAGGTGATCCATCTGCCTCAGCCTCCCAAAGTGCTGGGATTACAGGTGTGAGCCACTGCACGCAGCCTCAGATCTTGGTTTTCAATATCATTCTCCCGTAAAATAAAACCAGTGCTCTTATGAAAAGGGTGAGGTGGGAAATATACAAAGAATCTGGAGTACACTGTAGGTCCAAAAAGTAAAAAGTGCTCAAAAAAACAAAAAATGGAGCATGCAAAAGAGACACAGGAGCCACTCTGAAAGGGCATCCTATAACCAAAACAATTAGAGCAACAAAATAAATTATATTGGATTGGATTGTAACCTAAAGTACAGACATAAAGTAAGTACCAATGAGTCCATGCAGATATAAATCACTGAATATGTAAGTTAATGGGAGAGAAGAGATAAACCTTCCATATAGAAGAATTCCAAGTAATTTATGCAAAGACTCCTCCATCAAGGAAGGACAGCTTAATTCCCACTTCTTGAGTGCAAGCCATCCTTAGTGACTTGCATACATACTGATCTTAGGAAAAGGAAACAAAATCTTCTGTGTGATTATCTATGAAGTAAAGAAAATAAAAGGCACTTCTAACACAGGTGAGAAATACTGAAGTCAATTTACTACTAACTTGAGATCTTGAAATATTTTATCCTGGAGTTGGAGACTGCATGACAAAAAAAGATATTAAGCTAACTTTAAAATCATTGGACCAGGAGGTAACATCTGAAGTTAGATTTAGGCTGCAATTTTGACCCTGCCAGAAATAATAAGGGTTACACTTTGGGCCAATTACTTAAAACTCTCTGAGGCTCACGTTCCTCAACAGTGAAACAAGGATAAATTAGCTGGACCAACTCTCAACAGGGTTCAGAAGAATTATCTAAAATAGTTTGAATTTTTATAAAATACAAATGCAGGTAGATATGCAATTTAATACTATCAAAGTTGTTAAAAATTTGATAAAGTCTCCAAAGTATCATTTTTAAAAAGTTTTCAGCACCCATTATAAATTAGTTTTGAAAGTTCCAAAGATAAACTGCTTTCCTTAAACTGATATAGGAGTTTTAGCAAAGGGATCTTATCTACCATGTACTGGACCATCAACCACCACCTTCTCACTCTCTTCCCTTCTCTACAGGAGGGCTTCTGGAAAAAAAAAAAAAAGGCTCATCGTATTCACTGTTGTTAATGCTTTAATCTCTCTTTACCCTCAAAGGAAGGCAAAGTGGGTTATCCTTCTCATCTACTTACTGAATCTTTAATGGTTTGGGTATTAAAGACTTTCTTAATGGACAAAGACAATGAGTACTTCAGGTCTTTCACAACTTGTGAGTTCTTTCCTGGCAGTACTTGGAGAATTAGAGCCATGTCAGCTGAACCAATGCCAGCCACTGATGTCTATGTAGCAATGACAAGAGTTGGCTCAAACACTCTGCCACTGAAACCACACCCTATGTTTGCCAACACAGTCTCTTTTTTTTTTGTACTTTAAGTTCTAGGGTACATGTACAGAACATGCAGGTTTGCTACATAGGTATACACATGCCATGGTGGTTGGCTATATCCATCACCCTGTCATCTACATTAGGTATTTGTCCTAATGCTATTTATTCCCTCCTCCCCTAGGCCCCACCCCCTGACCCACAGGCCCTGGTGTGTGATGTTCCCTTCCCTGTGTGCTGACACAGTGTCTTTTTACTTATAAATAATAAACTTGCTTATTACTTCATATAAAAGTGGTAGTGATGGGTGGTAGACTGTTATTTTTGTTTTCTGCAAACTCTAACAGGGAACGGAAAACCTCAAGGTTTTCAGTAGAGGAGAGAGGTTAAGTATTAAGAACAGAACCTTTCTCAACAGCTGAGTCAGAATCTGATGACAAATTTACTACATGCCAATCACAAGTGTAATAAATGTCCAGATGGTATCGCCACACCATTTACACAATTTATATCCTCTATGTTTTATTTAGGAATTCTAAAAAAAAACGGTTAGATATAAAATAATTTCCACAATACAAGGAATTTTATTATGTGCAAACTTCTCAGATAACCCTCAGGAGAGACTTCATACTGCACATAAGATGCAGGGAAGAAGTCAG